GTGTCTGTGTGTGTGTGTGTGTGTGTGCGTGCGTGCGTGCGTGCGTGCGTGCGTGCGTGCGTGCGTGCGTGTGTGTGTGTTAGCAGTATAGCTCAAAAATGAAAAGTCGTACGAAATAAATATTTCGTATCTAAGATAGGTATATGACTTAGATGTTAACTTTTCCCTTGAAATCGGCTAAGTGCCACTTTATATGAACGGTAAACACATTTGTATAATTTTCTCAAAAACGGCTCGGACTATTTCGATTAAACTAGGTGTATCATATAATTAAGTGGTCTTTAATATCATTTAGGTCTTATCCCCGTTGAAGTCACTTTACAGGGCTTAAATGACCAATGCGTTCATATGCGTCTTCCTCTAAAGTACCTAAAGGTTTATTTTAAATAATTAACTATATCTCATTATTAAGAGTTACAAAAAAATGCTAAATATAACCTTTGAAAGAATTTTATAATTGAATAAAGAAGAAGAAAAAAAAATTGTTTATCCAGGTCGAAAATTAATCCCTGGAAACACGAATAAGAAGGTATACGTATAATATATCGTTGGAAAGAGGAGGTTTTTAGAAAAAAAAACAATCTCTAATATAGAAGTCCGTAGAAGGAAATGGATAGTGATAAAAAATTATAAATAATAACTTGTGGAAACTAATATTATTTAAAGGAAATTACATGTTTTCAAGGAAATTGAATTTGACTAACTAAATGCAAACTTTTAATTTTTTTTTTTTGTTTAAAAGTATTTAAAATCCAAATCCAGGCAATGACATTGTTTCAAAATTATTTAATTGTACTATCTATATATTGTATATCTAGATATAAGACAGAGACTAGAGTTATGTGGTTCATAAATTAACAGTTGGAGTAACAAGGTTTTACTCCTTTAAAAATGCACTTCAAAAATTTTATAATAGCCCTACATTGCCAAAAAAGAATTTCGATTCAAAAAAGATAGGCAAGTGAAAGTTGTGCGTTGCGCGCACCAGATTTTTTTCTGAAAGTATGAAGTCAAAAAAAATAGTTCCAGCGAAAACTGCTTCTGTGTCCGTCCGTCGGCAATAAACTAAATAATTTTGAGAAAAAATTTGGTAGCCCAAAATATATTTCTTTTATCACACTAATATTACAGTTGACAAGTTTCTATGAATTGAACGATGTCATCTTTTTCTTCCGAAATATATACCGTGGAGTTATCATTCCCATTATGCATTAATGCATTTTTGCTTAAATTGAGCTATTCTGTCCTACATCTGATAATCGACCGTATCGAAACAATATCTTGACTCTATCGACCTCACGTAAGCGTGCATTGACAGAAAAACTGTAATGAATATATTTTTTTATTTTGTTTTTCATGTCTTCTATCCTATGTCTAACTACGGTATAATACTATATAATTATAATTTTTCATTTATAAGTCGATTTATCATTATCATTAATCCCAAACACATTCAACATATGATAAAATCAGATATATAAAAGTGTCTGTAAAAGACAACCTTGCCTCTTTCCATTATCTTGTTCGAATTCATGACATGACTGAGTCCACCCATAAATCCTCTGTTAATTAGGAATTAAATATGTTACCGAGATTATGACCGCTAATGTCGATATTAAGGAATCATTACATTATAAAACACAAAACTAAAGAAAAAAAAGCATGCAGTTTTCTCTTTATTTCATTAACCCACTCTTCCGTGCCGGTAGTACATTTTTAGATTCCAAATGCCAACTATTAATTATCAATTTTTTCATTAATGATTGATAAAAGAGGTTTTTATTTTTATTTATTTATTGACATCCATGCCGTGCCTGGTAGGCAATATGGGTTTTAGCAGCAGTGAGATTTAGGCGTTTCTGCTGCTAGAAAAACAATATTTTAATGTTACTAACTGGGTCCATATTTTTATTACATTTCCTTAGGTCTTTTCATGGTATTCTTCTGCTCCTCCGCCCGGCGGCCTTCCAGGTGGTGCACCTCCTCTTCTTTTCAAAGAGAAATGGGTTGGGCCTATAATGTATTTCCGTTTTGAAATGAAATCTTTAAAATGAGGATAGTTTTTCAGACTCATGAGCTGAGAGGAATCTCTCTCAGTCAAACGTAGAGACCGGTTTCTCTCAGCTGTTATGCTCTCTGTGCCTCAGAGACAGTTCATGCTCCGACAATGTGCTCGGCAGTCTCTGGGACTCCGCAACTGGGGCACAATGGGTCGATATTCTTTCCAAATTGAAAAAGCTTTGCTCGAAAGCCCCCGTGCCGTATCCAGTGAGTAGTTGGGAGACCCAATAACCAGGTTCCACCCATTTTGCTGCTAACCGAGAACCGATGGTGGGAAAATATTTCCTGAGAGTACTTCCTTTCGGAGTTGTTGCCCATCGCTTGTTCCATTCGTCAAAGGTGTACACTTGTATTATCTGTTTCCATCTCCCTGGTTCTTGGTTAATCCTCCAAAGGAGATTCTCTGGTAGACCTGCCGAGCCTTCTCTTGAAATCTGATGCCTTTACATGTCTTCCTGCAGGAGGAGGTCGAGAGGAACATCTGCTAGGACCTGTACTTAATCATGAGACAATGTGCTGTAAGCTCTGGTGACTCGCAGCAGAGTCGTCCGCTGAATTGAAGCCAACCTTCTGATGATGAGAGAGATTCAGAAACCAATTTGACTCCGAAGTAGGCAACCTCACTCGGACTTATTCTTGATCCTTGGATAATCATTGTAATAGGGTGAGTCCTGCCTCTCAAGAGGATGGCCTTTGTTTTAGCAGTTCCCATCCGCATTTCCTTCCTCTCGCACCATCTTTCTCTCAGGTTGGCGCACCGCTCAGCTTCTTCTTTTTTATCATGGCTCTGCTGTTCGAGGCCACCGCAGCGGCTAAATCATCCACAATAGCTGTGGCGTAGAACTGCTCTTCCTCGAGCACTCCCAGCACACACGTGCACACAGCCTACTGCATACTTTTGTCTCTTATTTTATCGTCCTCCATCTTCTTCTCCTGTCCTAATCAGTGGCTTCCAGGTACTGCTTCTTCACGCCTGAACAGAGAAGTGGGTTGGACCCACAGTTTTTTTCCATCCGCATAGAAAACTTTTAAAGTGCGGGTAGTTTTTTCTGACATCAGTTGGGGTAATTTTTTTTTCTGTTAGAACGAAAAGCCCAGTATCCCTCATTAATTTGGTCCTCAATGCCTCATAGCTGGTGCAGGCTACATGGATGTGTTCAGCGGTTTAAGGTATTCCACAAGTTGGGCATAAGGGGATTCCGGTTCCATGCAGAGGACGCGTATCTCAGGATACCAACAACTATTCCTTTATAAATGGACATAGTTGCTGGATACCTAAGGCCCCAAAAGGCTCTCCGTATGCGACTGAGACCATTAAGGGCTAAGGTTATCCTATTTCTTAAATAATCCAAGTGTGGCGTCACATTGATTTTTTTCCAATCCTAATTCCAAGATAAGTTACTACCTCACTTGGACATATTCGTGAACCTTGTATCACCAAGGCTATGGGGTGTGCTCTATCGGTCGAACCTCTCAAGAGGATGGCCTGAGTCTTGGAACCCGCCATCCTTAACTTCTTTATCTCGCATCATTCTTCTACAAGGTTGACACAACGTTCAGCTTCATATTTTAATCTGGCCGTGCTATTCAAGGCCCCTACAACAGCCAGGTCATCTACATATACCACTCCTGTTCCAGCTTTCCCAGCAACTCGTTGAAGACTAGTTTCCACAGAGCGGTGCCAAGGACAGCCTCTCTCCATACTATCTTCTACTTCGTAGACGTTACCTCTTGTTCGGATAGAAGAGATCAAGATTAAGCGTTTAATAGAAGAGATCAAGTCGATTGGTCTGTAACTATTAATAATTATGTGATTTTTATTTTTTTTGTTTTTAAATGGCAATGATAGCTGTTTCTCCCCTCCTCCTCCCCCTAGAAAATTCGAAAAATATCACATGACTATATTTTATTCTATATGTTTACAATTTATTAGGGAGGAAATAACAATTTTTCATCTCACAATGAAGAAATGTTTTGGAATTTTCTGGAATTCAATAAGTGAGAAATGCATTCAAAGAGGAAGATTGATTTAATGGTTTTGACTAATTAAGCTAGAGGATTGCTTAATTATTCCTAATTCTATACTTAGTGATCAAACCAAGACCGTCCCTCCTTTTGTTGAAGTGTTAAAGATGTTTTGTTTTATTTTCATACTGGTTTATGTGGTTAATGACTGTGGGGATTAATAATCTCGAAAAGTGGTTGTATTAATCCTGTTGGTAATATGATTGCTCTTTTAAAACTAGAAACATACGTACGATTGTTTTGTTAATAGATTTGGTTCGTGTGACTGATATTTTCTTTCAACCTGGATATCTGGGTAATTAATTGAAACACAATCTGCTAATTTTTATTGTTAAAGAAATAATGAATTGCGGTTTGATCCATTAATCATTCTCTTGTAATTAAATTATTATTTTAAGACAGGGTAGGTTTAAGGGCGTAATAAACACGGTGTAAATTAATAATCAAGGATTAAAGCATTGGGATTGAACAGCCGTATATCGGTCCTTACAACGCATATAACATGGAACATCCGAATTGTCGATTTATTAAGTAGTATATGTTAACAAAGGTCTGTTAATATATACTACTACATATAATATATATATATATATATATAATATATATATATATATATATATATATTTACTTTCGTACGACTTTTGTTGTTTGAGCTAGACTGTTCACATACCCACAGGCCATATTTCGAGACTTGGTTATTTGGACTCAGGGGATCTCAAATATATATATATATATATATATATATATATACGTAAAAAAATTGAATGAGATAGATAGAGTGAGAGTGAGACTGAATGAGTAAGAATGTTGGAGGTTGTGGTTAGCTAATTACGTTTTCATTAATACGAATTAATTCATCCACTTATATATTAAATTATATTATGAAAGAAAGTTATACATTAAAAAATACTCACGGCATAGAAGTCATATGTATTGATTTCTGTTGTTTCATTTAGGGCCACTTGCAATGCTATTTCCTCCTCGCCCATCCTAAAAACAGAATTATTTTAATTTTATTTTAATTATTATAATTAGTTTAAATATTCATAACATGATCTGTACATTCTATGTCACATATTTATTTTACTAAAAACTAATGTTAGTGCCTATTACAAATTTATGTCAGAGGTTTATCATATACTATGATAAATATTTTTGTTGTATTTGCCTTTTATTAAGATCATTGATCTGTTTAAGTACATAATTATTTGTCATCCAATATGGCATATAAGACAATCCAATCGCATTGGTGCCTTACGTATGAAGAACTTAGTTACTTTGTGGAAAACAAAACTTAAGATTTATTCATTGAATGGAAAAATATTAATTTTTATTTAATTTTATTTTACATGGTCATTCGGGATAAACATTTTTAATTATTTTTTCTGTTGCTACCTGGGATGCTGATGCTTTAAGATAAAATGTTTTAAATAGAATGAAAAAAAAAATTGTCAGATCCGGAAGATTAATTATTCCTGAAGTAATAAAACGTTGACGGGTTGTTTTCTTTATCTGCATTTTAGAGACAAATCGGCTCTGTGGTTATAGTGTTTCCAATAAGGCTAGATATATAAATATAAATAAAATTCCACCCACTTTTTACCCATTAAGGAACCACGTTGGAAAGTTTGGCTCTGGGAAAAATTACAGGCTGCATATCTTTCGTTTCTTCACCACACCCTTTCACGCCCGTCTGGAGATTGAACAGCGAATCTTGACTCATCTGTAAAAAGTACAGCACTCCATTCGTCCATAGTCCAATGGCTGTGTTCTCGAGTAAAAGCCAGCCGTGTTACTATGTGAGTTCTGGTCAACTCTGGTCCTCTTACTGAACGATGAGCCATTAATCCATACTCATTTAATCTTCTCCGAGCGGTACGTTCAAAAATTTGCACACCTCGAACTTCTTCGAGCTGATGAATCGCTTGAACAACGGTAAGGTGCCGGTTTCGTAAAATTCTCAAAGTCAAAAACCGGTCATCCCGTGGTTCTGTTACCCTAGGCCTTCCAGAACCGGGCCTTCTATTGTAAGAACCAGTTTCCCGAAAACGCCTAACGGCGTCTCGTAAGGTTTCATATGGAACTCCGATGGCATTAGCTGCATATCTAATGGAACGTTCATCATCAATAAGTGCCACACCACACCAGCACTAAGAGGCATTTTTTTAAACTTAATATTCTAAAAATTAAAAGCCAGAGACTCGTATGACTACTAGTTATACGAGCACCAAAGGTTGATTCCTTTGACGTAGGGAGACACATGGCCTCTTCCCGAACCCATACTATACAAAAAATACAAGAAGGAGTTGAAGGAATTCATTAATAGCATAAAATTAGATGACATTCCAGCTTAAAGTTAGACTTATGTATTTTATTCCTTATTTTTTAGATACTAAGTTGTAGATTTGTAACATTTAATTTTTGTATTCCCCGCATAATTTTTATATTTGATTTTGCATATATTTTTATTCATTTATTTATAATAAATGGATATTTATTAGTAATATTTTTCGCTTTTTTTTAGTATATTTTGGTACTGTTCACTCATCTGATACTGTTATTTATTTTACTTAATCGTTTATTGTTATTTATTTTATTTATACATCTATAATATTCTCCTGGTAATACATAATAAGTACCATTCTTTTTAAACATATTTAGCCAACACATATTGTAATAAGTTATATACTATATAACAATGTAATGCATATAATACGCTTTTGCATGGAGTATGCACACTTCTAAAAAATATACGCCTCTTTTATAGGGTTACTACAGCAGAGAGAAAAAAAAAAGCCACCTGAGGTTCAGTCGTCCTCATCATCTTCTTAAGTGGTAGAAGTGCAACCGGCTTGTATTTGCAATCATTATAAGCCGTATACAACTTGTTATTTTTTAATACATTTAAATGTACTTAATATAATAGTATATTTAAATAAAATATACAATTAAATATATATATTTATATGTATTAAAATTTAGTATATAAATATATATATATAATACATTTATACATATATATATATATATATATATATATATATATATATATATATATATATATACACACATATGTATATATATATATATATATATATATATATATAATATATAATATATGCAATAAACAAATTTATAAAGAGTATTAAAATTATAAGATCCCAGTTGTACAAGCAATAACTTCAAAAGGATATTATTTTGACCCTTTAGAGTGCAGTCTCCTGTGGAGGTTTTGTAAAGGTCTCAGAAAGTTTACCGTTTCCGGAAAACCGTCGCTGATTTTTATCCTGCTGTAAGTGCCATAAAAACATTTCATTAGAAACACTTTGCTTCGTTAAGCAATAATTTTAATTGAATGAGTAAACTTGGAATTAGCGCCTCTCAGTTACTCTTTTTCCTTTTTTATTTACTTTCAATAGCTGAAAGGAATCACTTGTTTAAAAACATAAGTAAAAAGAATCTGCACTTATTCGATTCCATTGCTCCAATTAACCTTAAAGCCTAATTAATATTTTTAAATAATTCTAATTCAGGTGCTAATCTCAGACCGTACAGTTCAGCCTGACCTTTCCCTTGGAAATTTTACTTTTCTATTTCCTTTCCTTTTCCACGCCCTCTCTTTTCCAATTGCGGACTTCCAGCTTCCTCGTATTTCTTTCCAGTCGATCCTTTCACCCACTTCTTAGTGGGCTATGAATTCATTTCGACGGATTTATGAATTTTCGAAATAATTTTTTTTTAAAAACAAGGGAACAAAAAGAAAGTAAAGAACAGGCCACTGAAAGTTTGAAATAGAAATAATGAAGAATAAAATACCATTGTATATAACCTATTATTTTTAAAATTCTGCTTTAGCTTTGCACTATTTTTAAAGAGATGAGAGCAATAAAATATCTTGGGAGAAGGCGTGGGGTTTTATGCGCCATCGACTATGGAGGATATGCCCCCGTTAGCCCTGGAAATCGATCCGATCGCAGGCGAAGGTTTGATTGTAAATTACAAGCAATTAGTAAATTATAAATTTAGCAAAATTTGATGCTCTACAACTTTGATTATATGGGTTTTTCCTCTCAGGATACCCATTTCCAAGTTACAAGACCATTTATAGTAATTTTGAGTTTTTGACAAATTTGGTAAAACTCAGCGTTGATTGACCGTGGTTTTATACCTTATCGCGTAAACAAATTTTAAAGTTTATGTACTCGTTTGAGGCAAAATTTAACGTTCTTTAATTTATTAAAGAATACATTTTTCGCTTTGATTCATTGTTTAGGAGTTATAGATAAAAAGCCCAAAAAACTCCGACTTTTTTGGCTGTAAAAAGTTTTTCCTTGGTGGCCTGCGTTAGCAATTTCGTTTTTTACGTGTCTAAACCCATATATACAAGTTAAAAAAGTAAAAACTTTTCTCACATTTTTCGCAATAGATTACCCGTTTCGATCCTCAAATTACTGGGCTAATATTCTTCAAATTAGCCGCCATTTTTGAAAGCAGCGGCTCTGGAACGGCAGATAAAGTTCTTTTTACTCAGAATAACATACACTTTCGTAATTTGCAATCAATCCTTCGCCTGCGATCAGGTCGATTTTTGGGCCCCGGCTCCAGGGCTACGTAATATCGTCTGTTAATTACGAAAAAATTCATTAATTGACTTTTCATAAACTTAAATCACTAAGAGCTTTGTTAATTTTTCCGTCTGTGAAATAAGAAAATTGTGCACTTAATGTAACTACATTTGATATAGAGACACTTTTGTGTCATTTTAGTGCACTTATTGCTTTTTTTCATTGATGAATAAAGCCAAAATACACGAAAACATTATTAAAAAGTTCAGTTTCATTAAAAATGTACAAGATGATTTTCTGTAATTATCCGACGATATTAAGTTTTCTTTCTAAGTACTTTAACTCCATTTTAAAATATGTGGACATATTTACTGGTTCGTATTTGAATTGTTTAAAAAAATCAGAACAATTAACTGAAATTTCAACTTTTTTGAATAAAGTCATTTTAGTGATATTTTTAGCTAGAAAATGTATTGTATCTGTACAGACAGTGAATGATCTGATTCCAGAGTAGGTGAATGCAGAGTTTAAATATAGAACTGTGAATAAAGGGATAAATTTTCTCACTAGAAATATCATTAAATTAATAATCAAAATGTTGAAATTGGAGCCAACTACGTTTTTCTTTCATTTTCTTATTGAAGTACCCCTCGAACATTTTTTTTTTGTACCATTTCATCATCCCTTCTGACAAAGTTTCTTGCCCTTCTTATCCTACTCGTTTTTATTCAATCAATGATGTTCTTATTCTATAGTATAATCTTAATCATAGCAATGATTTTAATTTTCTATTCAAAATTAACTTTTATTGGGCAGCTTTCATTTTGTTGACCTAGTACAATATGATCTCGGAAAAAGTTGCTCCGGTTAACTTAAAGAGCTAAACCATAGACAATCTAACCATTGGGTTTTGTCAAATATATTTTGTATGTTTAATAGCTCTGATGTCATACACATTTTTGTTGTTTTATATACCGTGACTGAAAATATTTCAAATTGTTTCAACTCACGAGGTATCACAAAATAAATTGAAACATCTAACTTGAAAATTGGTTGAGCTGTTAGCTCATAAAATCGTTCCATACATTCAAACGCTGAGGTTAAATAAGGGTAATGTTATTATTGCTTGTTCTTTGACGAAAAAAAAAGTAATTAGAAAATCTTGGTTCATGAATAAATAATTGCTATAATTTGTGAAATACCACTACAAATTATTTTTTTTCGAAATTACATGGCATTAGGATGATGTGAATATATGAAGGTAGACATCCACGAGTATCCTCTATCTATTATAATATCTTTAAGAGTCTTAGTTATATAAGAACAAATTTTGCAGGCATACCTTTTACCTTATTATACTTTCAAATTCTTACCATATATTTCCCGCTACCTCATCCCCTTCCTCAATGATTTTTTCTTTCATATCT